TAATTTCTTTCTATTTTTAGTAGAGACGGGGTCTCGCTCTTGCTCAGGCTGGTCTCAAACTCCTGACCTTGAACAATCCACCCGCCTCGGCCTCCCAGAGTGCTAGGATTACAGGCGTGAGTCACCGTGCCCGGCCCAACTTGAATTCTTAGTGGATGAACACCTTCCATGTGGCAGCATTCAGTTTTAACTTGTTTAGAATAACCAAAATGATATAAATTCTGAAGTACAACATAGAGTTCTCATAGCCCCCTTACCTAGTTTCCCCTACATGACCATGGTACCTCTGTCTAAATTAAGAAACCAACACTGGTACATGACTATTAACTAAACTCTACATTGTATTTGGGTTTGAACAGTTTTTTCACTAATGTTGCTTTTCTGTTCCGGGACCCCCTGTTGCATTTAGTCATCAGGTTTTCTTAGACTCCTCTGGTCTGTGACACTTTTTCAGTCTCTCCATGTTTTTTATAACCGTGATAGTTTTGAAGAGTATTAGGTGTTAGAATGTGTTTCAATTTTGGTTTGTCTGATGTTTTTCTCATGGTTAGACTGTGGTTATGGGTTTCTGGAAGGAATGCTACAGAGGTGAAGTAGCAAATAATTTTTTGAGTGCGAGCTGCATGCAGGCCCTCTTTAGATACTGGGATACGTCAGTGGACAAAATAGACAAAATCTCCTGTCCTCACGAAGCTTTCACTGTGGTTAGGAGGGGCTAATAATCAAGAAAATAAATATGTAAGTTATATAGTATATTAGAAAGTGACCGGTTCTATAGAGAAAAATAAAGCCAAGAGGAGGGAAAGGGAGCACAGGACTGAGAAGGGGATACAATTTAAAATAGCATGACTAAGGAGGGTCTCCCCGAGAAAGCGGCAGTGAGTGAAGACATGAGTGGGGAAGTGAGTCGTGTGGATATCTGGAGGAAGAGCCTTCCAGGCAGAAAAGCCAGAGATGCTTGGTATGTTCGAGAAGCAGCAAGGAGGACTGGGTGACTAGAAGTGGGTGAGCGAGGAGTGTTGGGGCTGCCGAGGTCAGAGGGCGACAGGGCCAGATCACAGGCCATCACTCTGGCTGTCATTTAGAGCGAGGTGAAGAGCCACTGGAAAGTTTTGAGCAGAGAAGTGACATGAATGACTGAGATTCCACAGGCTCATTTGGCCCAGACCAGGCTGTAGAGGGGCAAGGAGGAAAGCAGGAGGCCACTTAGGCTGTGGTAGTCCAGAGGGGATGCTGGCAGCTGAAACTGGGCTGGCGGCAGTGGAGGTTGGGAGGACGGTCAGATTCTGGATACGTTTGGAGGCAGAGCCAATAGGCTGTGTTTTGTGTGTGTGTGTGTGTGTGTGTGTGTGTGTGTGTGTGTGTGTGTGTTAGAAAGGAGTCAAGGGTGACTCAAGAGGCTTTGGGTCTTAGGCACTGAAGCATGGGGTTGCTGTTGACTGGAGAGGACTGAGGGAGGAGCAGGTTTTAGGATAGAACAGTTCAGTTTGGGTCATGTTAAGTTTCAGATGAGACACCTAAGAAGAGATACTGAGATGGTAGTGTGTTGGTGAAGTCTGGAGTGCAGGGGACAGCCTAGCTTGGATATATAAATTTGGGCATTACCAGTACCCATAAATAGTGTTAAAGCCATGAATTGGCTGAGATCACTATAAGGGAGAGTATTGATAGGAATGGCCAAGGCTGGGCACAGTGGTGCCCCTGTACTCCAGCTACTCGCGAGGCAGAAGGATTGCTTGAGCCCAGGAGGTCAAGTCCAGCCTGGGCAATGTAGAGAGACCCCATCTCTAAAAATAAATAAATGAATAAATGTTAAAAATTTTAAAAATTAAAAAAAAAAAGAAATGCTGAAGGCCTGAGCACTGCCTAGTGTGTTTCATCCTGAAGAGACTAGGGAGATGTAGAGCAACTCACAAGAGAGACTGAGAAGGAGCGGCCAGTAAGGCAGAAGGAAAGCCAGGGAATGGGTGTGCCGGGATCCAGATGAGAAAGTGTTTCAAGAAGGGAGTGACCACCTGTGTTATGTGGTAGTGGCAGGTCAAGTAAGATGAAGGCCAAGACTCATGCACTGGATTTAGTGATGGGGAGGGCGCTGGTGACCTTGAGAAGAACAGGTTTGGTGGAGAGAAAGGACATTGCTAGAGCAGTGTCCTCAGGTCAGTGAGTGGGCAGACGTGGGTTACCATTTGCTATCTGTGACTTGAGAAATTGCCCAGCTACTTTAGGACTTTCCTCATGTGCAAAATGTGGACAATACTAGCTACCCTGCGTGGTTGTTTAAGGGATTAAATGAAGTGCAAGGCACCTAGTACCCAGCAGACGGAAACAAGTGCAGTGATGAGAAACTCTAAATGGAAGCTCTTCTTAACAGAATCCCTAGTTCCTCTGCCACGCTGGAGAGCTGCAGGTTGGCTTCATGGCACAGGCTGGCAGTGGAGTGGAACACATGATGTGTCCTCATGGTTCTGAAGGAGCTTTTGTCTCTCTGTCCCCAGAGCCTGAATCCCAACCTGCTGGCCGTGGTGACAGAGAGCACAGACGTACACCATGAGCGCACCTTTATCGGCATCTTCCTCATCGACGGTGTCACTGGGCGCATCATCCATTCCTCTGTGCAGAAGAAGGCCAAGGGCCCTGTCCACATCGTGCATTCAGAGAACTGGGTGGTGGTGAGTAGTCACTGCCAGGGATACAAGGCAGCTCAAGAGGTCTTCTACATCTTAAATCCTTTCCAGAAATCCAGTTGCTGCTTTGTGTTTTCATGGGATCCCAAGCCCCCTAATGGCAGCAAAGTGTGCTGGTTAAGGGGCTAGGCTTAGGAATCACAGGTTTGATCCTACCTCCTCCGTTTCTTGACCGTACAACCCTGAACTAGTTATGCACCCTCGCTGTGTTGTATCATTAGTGAAATAGGGATAAGAAGAGTCACCTTCAGTCTAGCTAAGAACAGTGCTTGGTACCTAGTAAGGGCTCAGAGGTTAGGTATTATTATGATTACGTCCAAGAATCTTGAGAATTCCTTTGTCTTTGGTGAACTTTGGATAGCCTAGATAACACTACCTTGAAAGTTAGTAAACTTGGTAGCAGGGAAGAAAACTGGGGTGCTAGTGGTTCTTCTCCTTCCTGGATCTGCAGCTAACTGGAAAAGTGCCTTCCAGTGTAATTTCCCTTTCCACTGGAACCGGCAGCTAAGCCCTGCTGCCTCCTCCTGTCTCTGCAGTACCAGTACTGGAACACCAAAGCTCGGCGCAACGAGTTTACTGCACTGGAGCTCTACGAGGGCACTGAGCAATACAACGCCACTGCCTTCAGCTCCCTGGACCGTCCCCAGCTGCCCCAGGTCCTCCAGCAGTCCTACATCTTCCCCTCCTCCATCAGTGCCATGGAAGCCACCATCACTGAGCGGGGCATCACCAGCCGACACCTGCTGAGTGAGTACCTGGGGGTCTCTGGGGTGACTGGGTTCCCTTGGGCAGCCACACTGAAGGACAGAGCAGGGGACGCCTTGCTGGCAGAGCCCCGTTTGACACCCCCATAAGGAAAGGCTGTGAGGAAGGCTGTATTTCAGTGGAAAAACTTCCTTAGTTCAGCTTTGCCACCTATAAACATGACCACTTCTCTCTCAGTCCTCATTTCTGGTGAACCATTTTCCTTCTCTGATTGGCATTTTCACCTACCTCAGAAAGTCAGTCCCTAATAGCAATCTTAACATAGCTAGACTGTGTTGACAGGCTGTTGGAACCGGCAGAGTTTGGAATCTTATCTTTGTGTAGCCCAAGTTCAGGACTTGGTGATTATTTAACAGGCTTTTGTGCCTACTTGATGTTACCAAAACATTTGGGACTCTCAGCTCTGACAGGCATGTATTACTATTTTATTCTCAAATATGAAGAAGAGCCCTCTTGGCCGTTTACCAGCTTCCATCACCATTACTGAAGCT